CTACTTTTAGTGAACTGTTAAGAATTTTGAATACGCCACTTGGACCTTCCTACAAAATGGAAAAACCCACTATCACATTTTCTGTGGAATAAGTTTAGAAGGTAATTATCTAGTCAATTACTGTCGTAGATTCCTGGAATTAAAGAATTAAATGTTTGATTGTTGAAACCCTTACTTCGTGGAATGCACTCATTTCAGATAAAATAAAACGTTTTATTTTATCTAAAGAATTAAACTTTATTTTGCAAATAGGTAGGTACTTATTAAACTTTTATTGGTTATATATAACCAATAAAATAAACATCTTACATTTCTTGCAAATTCATTAGTACCTGTTAACCTCCATCACTCCGACACTGGCAACCTTATTTAGGGATTAGTAACCCTCACAACTATTGTATTCTATTCTGCTCCAACCTTTATACCTGGTGGTCATACTCAATTTAAAATTGTTTTCCTATATACTTCTGTAAACTTGTTGACAAATATCTGTTTTTCATTGAGTCACCCGTATCAACAGTTTAGGGATTTGCATACATAATTTATTGTTTTATTACTCTCTCATACATAAAAATACACTATAGTGTGGTCCATTTTTTGTTAGATATATGGTGAGCTGGGGTCACACTGAACCCAATAAATTTAACAAATATATGAAATACTTATCACACATAAAAAATTAAACTAAGAAACAGCCTCAAAAACTGAGTTATTAAGTTACTACAATCCATTCTTATAGGCAATCTTTGCGAATGTGTGTTTCCCACATGTGGCATATTGGCGCTTTGCAACTAGCGCAAACTATCTTCGTTTTTCTATCCAATGATCGTGATAATTCTGAGCACCTTACTGTTTTTTCTAAAATAGTATTTTTCTATTCAAGAATGTCTGTTTTCAAAATGGAAGCGATATTAGGTCTCAGTTGCCTTGGATTTTGAGAAATAGTTAGTCTTCTTTCCATATTATCCTGCACAAGCTGCCGAGCAAGAGATTTGATGATTCTTACCTCGACTGTTGGGGTTTCCAGATATAGATGAGTATATTAAAAACGCAATGATGGAAAAGATATCCAAAATTGTATAAAAACAAGTAAGAGACCATTTTCGACTTCTACGAAGTGTAGTCGCGCTAAATAAGCTAGGCTGTATGTCACTTTAAAAATCTGTTGGGGCTCGTATATGACCCCGTATCACCAGTTATGGGTTAATAATTGATGAAAAACACTCAAAATATCAAAATACAGAGAGGAGTCCGCCAGGATTGTGTGCTTGTGTCCCCACTACTTTTCAATATTTACAGTGAAGCGGTATTTCAAGAAGCGCTCTCAGACTGAATAGAAGGTATATCTATCAATTGAGAAGTTTTGAATACCTTACGTTTTGCAGACGATACAGTAATAATGACGGATAACAACAATGATTTACAGAACATAATGCAACGCCTTAATGAACGCTGTCATGAGTACGGACTGAAGATAAATTTAAAGAAAACTAAATGCATGATCATGCCTAAATCTGCACATGCAAATATCCAATTAACTATTGAAGATACTGCAATTGAGAGTGTTAAAAACTATAAATACTTAGGAACATGGATAACATCAGATGTAGACCAAACCAAAGAAATTAAGACACATTGAAATAGCACGTGCATCATTCATTAAACTTAAAAAGTTTCTTTGTTGTCGGGATATAAGGCTAGAACTACGCTTGAGAATGCTTCGATGTGTTCTCTACTCTTCTTTATGGCTTGGAAGCGTGGACACTAAAACAAGTCCATCTGAATAAGTTGGTCGCCTTTGAATTTTGGTGTTACAGAAGAATCCTACGAATATCATGGATTCAAAGAATGTCGAACGTGGAAGTAACTAGAAGGATAGGAAATGAGGCGGAAATAATATTAACTATCAAAAGACGAAAGCTTGACTACTTAAGACATGCGATAAGAGGGCAAAAATACGCATTATTACAACTTATTATCTAAGGCAAAATCCTAGGAAGGCTAAATGTGGGAAGACGAAGAATATCCTGGCTTAAGAACTTAAGGGAATGGTTTGAATGCAGTATCGCAGAACTTTTTAGAGCGGCAGTCAACAGAGTTCGCATAGCCATGATGATTGCCAACCTTCGGTAGAAGATGGAACTTAAAGAGAAGAATGGATGAACTAAAGAAAATAAAAACAGCTTCCAAAACAACTATAATTATTCTGATAAGACTAAAGGAAGTTGAACGCTGTCAACAGATTAAAAAAATACACTAGCAAATTCAAGAAGTAGAATGACAAGAATAACTTAACGCAACACCATGCTGAGAGTAAGAGAAGTTCATGTTTAGGAACATTCTAAACGAACAACTGGAGGACGATATATCCCCTAAAATAAAACAATGGATAACACAAGAATAAACGCATTGATATCGGAAAGGCAATACAAGAATAAAAATAAACAACAATACAAGAATATAAATAAAACAGAAATTGTAACTATAAGAAAAATATGCAGAAATAGAATATTAAGAAAAACAACATGAAAGCTTTATCAAAATCCGGAAAATTACAGAAGCAGCTGACATATACAAGAAAAAGGTATTAATAACATCTTCTTCTTTTCCTATTGATCAGCAATTCTGCTTATTCATTGGCAGGTTAATACATCTATGGTAAGTTGGATGTCCTCTCTCAGGTAGGAAGCCGAAACAGGTTGACACTTGCCTGGGTGCCGGGACATAAGGGCCATCGTGGCAACGAGAAGGTCGATTAATTGGCCCGAGAAGACGCATCTACGCCACTGGTTGGTCCGGAACCCTTCTTTGGAATCGCAAATACGATAAAAAGGGCAGCCATACACAAATGGGTGCAACAGAAGTCTCTTGAGTGGTGGAACAACTCACCAGGAGAGAGGCAGGCCAAACAGTTCATCAAAGAACATTCGGCTAAATTTACAGCAGACTTACTTTCGCACAGACGCAGGACTGTCAGAATGATAGTGGGTCTGCTCACTGGGCACTGTAGACTCAATAGACACTTGAGTCTCATAGGCCTGACAGAAGAGGACACCTGTCGTTTCTGTCTGGAAGAAGAGGAAACCGCTCTACACGTTCTGTGCCATTGCGAAGGTCTCGTACGAATGCGGTTTCTAGAACTCGGAGAGGAAAAACCGGAAGCACCAGGCTACATGAAAAGGCCACTATCAAGGTTGTTGAGTCTCATTAAGAGGACCAAGCTAGATGAAGTGCTTTAAAATAAGGGGGGAACACAATAGATCTGCAAAGGTCGCAGTGTATCAGGCTCTATTGGCCGCCCCATTTTCTACATTCTACATTTTATCGATGAGATTGTAAACACGGACAAATATTTGAATATTTTAGAAGAATCTCTTATACGGATTATGAAACACTGTTTAACATCAGCGGAAGAGGAAGACTTTGTCTTCCAACAGGACGGCACAGATATCAAATAAAATATATTGAAAATCATGGCATACCACCTCTTGAATGAGTTTCTATTTCTAACAGTCCCCGATAGAGAATTTGTGGCGCGAAATGATACTTGTACTTTTGAAGCTTGGAAACTCTTAATTTTGCGTTTTTCTCAGTTTAAAATTATTCTCAGTATTTTAGTATTTATAACTCGAAAACAATCAAGTTTACAGTATAATTTTTAAAGGAAACGGAAAGTTATTGAAGGCAAATAGTGAAAAGTACACGTAGCAGGTGTAGATTAACATGAAAATAGCAATACTAAAAAATGTTTGAGTACTATCTGTTATAGATATATTTATTTGTGGTAATAAAATCTAAATTGTATTAATTGTAATGTTTTTTGTTAAAATTAAAATATATTGTGACAATAACGACGTAGGTTTTTCGACTGGTTTTCAAACAAAACTCAAAATTGAATGCAACAAAGACTCCTCCGTTTTGTAAATCTCGTGGAACGTGAGGGCATTTTAAACTTTTCTAAGACTTCTTATTCATTCGTTTTTGAAAAGAAATATGAATACAGCCAGCATGCCATCCCGGTTGCTTTCAAACAAGCGAGCGCCATAAAAAATAGTGGTTTATTACGTTTGGTAGTGGAGATACATATAAATACGGACTTACATAGAAGTTTACAGCTTACAGATCTTAAGATCTTAAGATCGTGTTTGTTTTGATCAACTCATCCGACCATTTTATAAGATAGTTTCTTTTCTGTACGAGAAACCGCATTAAAGAAAAGAATGTCAACTAGTTGATATATTATATTATATTTGAATGACTGTAGAGGATTTAGGGCTTTAGTCATATTGATATGTAAAATTTACATAAGAGGTGTATTTAATAATATGTAATATATTTTTATCATTTGTATTTTGATAACGGTTTGATACATAAACTTAAATCATTCATGCCTAAACAATATTCAAATATATTATAATCATGCTTATGATACGCTTATATGATACGTATATACGGATGTAAACGCTTTTATGATACGTCTTATACCTAATTATTTGACAAAACCTTTGTTGTCTGTAATCATAGCAAGCAAAAGATTTTCTGGATGGGCAAAAAATGCACTGGATCAAAAACTGTTTTCACTTTATCTGATTAACATCTCTGGAGTATTGAATTAATTTAAAAAGATGTTTGGAACCCATTTCACGCGAAAGTTGCCCTTTGATGTGGAACCATAAGGGAGCGTAGACTTTCATGATATAATCAACTAATGTTTGGAATTCTTCAGATGGGTCAATGGTTCCAATGTAAAGGCGTATTATGCCGTTTAAAGCCAGCGAGAATGTGACATATTGCCAGGCTGCCTGTTTGCGAGTTCGTCGCTACACACACCCAATGACATAGCCTGGCACATTTCGTACATGTATTTTTGATCGGTGCTTTAAGAATTTACCACATCTTCCTTTTTGAGAAATAATGTTACCGGAGATAGGAATGAACGCTTTAAAACAGAGATGGTCGCAAGTTTCCAGTGCCTTTCCGATCTCTATCTATCTATCTAATTAGCCTTCTTCGGTCCATCTTTGGACATAGGCCTCCCCAATCCTTTTCCATTCTTCTCTGTCTGTCGCTACAGTCATCCATCTAGAGCCCACGTGCTTCTTGATATCATCTGCCCATCTCATTTGGGGCCTTCCTCTGCTTCGTTTATATTCCCACGGTCTCCAACTTATAAGAATTTTGTTCCATCGGTCTTCTTTTTGTCTTATATTGTGTCCGGCAAATCTCCATTTCAATTTTGCAACTTCTTGTCTAACATCCCTCACTTTTGTTTTCTCTCTTATCCACTCGTTTCTCTTCTTATCCATTAGTCTTATGTGCAACATTTGTCTTTCCATTGCTCTTTGGGTTTTTATGATTTTGTCCATGTTTGCTTTTGTAGATGTCCACGTTTGGGAACCATAAGTAAGAACAGGGAGTACGCATTGATTATATACTTTGGTCTTAAGATGCTGTGGATATCTTTTGTTTTTAAGAATGTAGCTTAGTTTGCCAAATGCCGCCCATGCCAGTCTAACTCGTCTCTTGATCTCTGCTGTTTGGTTCTCTTTGTTAAGTTTTATAGTTTGACCAAGATATATATAATCCTTAACTTGTTCTATTTCATCTTGTCCGATTCTCATTGTGATGTCTTCATCTGTATTTGTTATAGTTTTGGTCTTGCTGTAATTCATATTAAGGCCTATCTTTCCAGCTTCTACGTCCAGTTCTTTCATCATTTCAAATAATTCTTCTTTTTTATCGGTTATCAATACGATGTCATCAGCGTACCTTAATGGTCAAGCGTTGTCCACAAATTTTTATACCTTTTTTTCCCATTCTAATCTTTTAAAAGTATCTTCAAGAGCCTGATTGAAAAGTTTCGGTGATATTGTATCACCCTGTCTCACGCCTCTACTTATTTGTAATGATTTTGTTCCTTTATATACTTTAATTGTTGTTTTGGCTTCCTTATATATATTGGTTATCAGTTCCGTATATCTGTGGTCAATTCGGCTGTTAATATCAAAGAACTTTTCAAAGAGCCTTTCATCATCAAAGAAAGCCCAGTGAATCCCTGAGGTCCGCTGGTTCGCCCATCTAATACATTAAATAAATGTCTTAGAGGCAATTCGTTTGTCTGTAGTAGGCAAATAAAGCATTGAAGACGCCTTTGTTTTGTACTCCATAAATCGAATTGCTCCAGACTTCCATCCAGTATTCGTATTAGTTCCGTCACATCCTATACATTTCAGAAAATCTAGCTTCACATTATTGGTTGAAAGAAAGCTAAGAAGAGAATCACATATAGCTTTTCCGGGTCCAATTACTGGTGTCGTATGTCCTAAATATTGTGAGTTTGGTTGGCTTATGATAAAAATATGTTCTGTTGATACCAGTTTTCGATAAGAATGACCATTTTTCTTTTCGATCGTTAAGGTTTTATCTTTTCTCCCATCGAAATAAATACTTTTTAGAGCGCTTTGGTGTACATTACTTTGTAGATGTTGCCTTGCTTTATTTCGTGTTCGACATACCTTGCTCATCTATAACCAAACGTTTCTCTTCGGAGGACACTAGGCCGACATCTTGTAACACTGCAGTAGCAATAGCAGCCGCGGATCGGTTTGAAACTCCATATCTATCGCAGATTCTTGCGAGGTTTGGGAGACGTACTGTGTTATAGGTTTTATTAGACTCCGAAGTTGATGTTGAAGGTATAGGTTCCGTATCAACGTCAACAATATCGTTATCAACATCTGCTTCTGTAACATTCTTACTCATTTCGGATATCTTTCTTTTTTTGCAAGGACTTCTATCATTGAGACCGATTTCTTTATGATGTTTCATTTGTCGATCCAATGCGCGCTGTAAGTGATTGGTAGTATTTTTATCGACACCTGTTATCATCATTTTTCTTTCTTCCCTCTGGTCTAATAGGAAAGGATGCTCGATAATAGGTACTTTATGATTCTTAGGGCATGTGCAAGAATCAAAAGTCATGCATTTACACGATGCAATGTCAAAAAGTTTTGTCATGGAAGTTTCTCGGAAAGCGTCCATTTTTTCTGTGTATGTATCAGACCTTTTTGTTTTTGGATATCGAAATAATTTAATATATTGATCATAATACCTGTTAAGAAGGTCCTTAATGCGTTTTGAGCTTACAGTTGGAATTGAAGCCAAAGCCCAGATCTTTTCGATGCGTTGACAAACTACAGTGTGAACTTCGGTTATAGGCGGCTGTTTTCCGGAGTTTTGTTCTTGTAAATCATATCGCACATATAATATATACCTTATAATGTCACTAACAGTAGGCAAAACACTTGAAGATGGTTCAGAAGGTATTCCAAATATAGGACAGCGCACTTTACTTCGAATTTTTAAAAGTGTTGAACTCATTTTACTAACACTTATATCTTTTTCAGTTCAATAAACTAATTAGTTATTAAAAGTTATTACGGCAATAATGCAGTACACAACACGAAGCAGTTTCAATTATGCAAAATCCGACAACAAATCATACAAAAAAAAATAGTGATCTGCCGACCTGTCTAGACAAAACGGTACTGCTAGAAATGGTCAGTCTAGCAATCTCGCTCGCGCATGCGTGCAACTAGTGACAACAGCTCATCAGTAGCATAACATGCATTAATTTTCTTTAGAACGAAAAATTTAGATGAATACAACTTTGTTTTATTTTGTAAAACTAATTCGACAGTCAGGGGGAAAATTTCCATTTATGGGAAATTTCAAGTCCCGGTAGAGAGCTAAAACATATATGTGATATATTTTTTATTATTTTATACTGTTTCTAATAGTCTAATGCAATTTCCGATTCATACCCATACTTGTTTTGTTCGATTTGAAAAATTCGACCCACGCTATTGTGCATTTACCCTGTACAGACTACTCACTTTGAGACAATCTATAGTTATGCTTCCTCATACTGATCAATGACCCTGTATTTTATCAAATACTGCCAATTTGGTTCATAAATTTTTATTTCTAAATTGACTTTTGAGGGACGCTTTTTGAGCGAAACTTTAATCTCTTTCCAGTATTTTTAGGTTTTGCTATCGTTCGAGATTTTTATTGTAATTGACATGTATCCAAAGATTAACTTTTGTAATCAACTGAATTTTTTGAAACGTAAAACTAAAATATTTTTTACCTTTGTAACAGGCAGATGTTTGCGTTACATTTTTGTAAATTGACTGACGTATTTCTCGAAAACATTTCTAGAATTCCATGCGAATCCAATCGATAAACTCATCAACTTAAGTGTATAGTCGTGTTTCCCAAAAAATATTGTTAATTCCATTTCATGCATACTACTTTGTAACTTTACTAAAGACAATCATTGACACATTTTACCATAGAAATGACAGCTACCCGGTTGGTATGCACGTTTCTAGCAGCACGAAATGTATTTACTACAGTTCTAACAGCGGTTAATAGTCCAGTGTTCCTGAAAGAGGTTGCTTTATACCAAATAATGATCGTTTTATTTATTTAAAAATGCATAAACAATGGAATTTTAATTATAAGGTTCTTCTTAGAGCCTTTTTTCAGTGGGTCACAGTTTTACGATTTCCTTCTATTGTATTAAGTTGTAGCATTTGCAATGCATTGATTCTTTGGTGTATATTGAAATCCCCACTTATATGTAATATATTGAAATCCCTCACATATGTTTGAAAAATCAAAAAATATTTTTAATGTATCTTCTTATTCGTATGTATTAAAACCCAAATAATATTTCGTTCTTTTCATCGTCGCCAAGTAATAAAACCATTTTAGAGTTGTTTATTATTTAAAGATGTGTACTTCGGCAATTTCTTTTAATGTTTTATTTGAAGTCATCTTATAATTTTTGTACGTCGTAGAAATGGAATCTTCTGCGTTTTAATTAATGTCAAGTGTTTGTTATTTTAAGTTATGCGATCAATTTCTGGGGATAATTTCGTGACCCTCGGTAAAGCCGGCCGCTGATCAAAGCGTGTTCAGTTTTGTTTGAGTCCGCATTTCTTTGCAAATTCGAAATCTTTTCGTTTTCCTTTTCTTGTCATGGAAATGTAGCATGAAGTGACAGTAGCAGTTGGATACTTGGTATTGAGCAGTTTTACATTAGTTTTTGAAGATGGCCTTATGTTGCCATTGTGCTGTGCCTGTTCCAGTCTTTGAAGGAGACGAGTTTTCAAGGTTGTGTTCCAGCCGGTGCCGGCTTTCGCCCTCATCTTCTTATCCCTGATCGTCATCCCGGATCTGCCCCCAGTATAGTTCCAGCATGATTCCAGTTCCCGACCCCAGACATGCAGACTGAAGTTTAGTGAGGTTCAGGTAACTTTTTCTGTGTCTAAAATTTAAAGTTAAGATAGACATTAAAAAAAATAATTGCTTTCATTGTTTAAAAAGATAAGTTTTTTATTTGTAATAATTTTTATATTCTCCCTATGGTCATATTTCTCCCAAAAAATATGAAGGTAGAATTGCTCAATGGCGCTCCACCAGGGACAATAGCTGCCTGCCATGAATCTGGCTGGATTCAGAGTCACATTTTCACCAATTGGTTACAACATTTTATTAGCCACGTTAAACAAAGTGAAGCTGATCCACTTGTATTAATATTGGATGGTCACTTCTCCCACACGCGGAACATTGACTTGATAAATTTGGCGAGCCAAAACCATATGGTTATTCTTAGTCTGCCGCCGCATTCTACTCACAAAATGCAGCCGCTGCACCTTGCTTTCATAGGGCCTTTTAAAACCAACTACTCGCAGGAAATTGAAAATTGGCTAAGGAACAACCCTGGAAAAGTAGTCACCTGCTATCAAGTTTGCGAATTGCTTGGAAGAGCTTATGTAAGATGTGCTACAGCTGAAATCGCTATAAATGGTTTTCGAAAGAGCGGTATCTGCCCATTTAATAAACACATTTTTCGAGAACACGACTTTGCCATTCACCATCAAGCGGAAGGTGACCAGTTCCAGTTCAAAATCTACCAGAGGCTGAACAAGAAAACCTAGTAACTCCTCCGAAGCATGTAACTCCTCCAAGAAGTATTGATGCGACCAAATGTGTGGAAGATTTATAATGTAAGAATATTTCTAATAATAGAGATTGAGCAGTGCGGCCACAAGATATTAGCCCTTTACCCACCACTTCATTTTACTACCAAGTCTAGTATTAAAGAAAGAAAGGCCAGAAAAAAATCTGCTGCCTTGATTACGGGTACACCATACAAAGATGCCTTAGAAAGTAGTTTGTCAGAACAGAAGAGAAATAAAAGTATTTCAAAGGGAATTCCGAAATTAAAAATAGACAAATGTGAGCCTTTTAAGAAAACAAATAAAAATAAAGGAAAATCTATTGCTAAGAAGGCAATAACAACCAAGGTTAAAAAGAAAAGTGCTAAGAAAGAGGAAGCTTTTAGTTCATCTGAAGAAGATGAAGAAGTCATTTTAGATGATGATTCTGATATGGAGTGTGATATTGGGGAAGAGGAAGCAGAATGTATGTTTTGTACTGGACCATTATCTGAAGATATCTCGGGAGAACAATGGATTCAGTGCTCAAAGTGTTTTAATATCCGGTATTATTAGGAACATTTTTTTTGTCGGTCTAAATTTACCGTTTTTTCCTCGATCTTGTTCACTGAAGATTGCAGATTTGTTGCAACTTATTCATGATTATTTCCCATTACCAGAACAGCTTTGTTGTCCGCAAATGTTAC